TTCATTAAATTACCTAATTGGGACTGTTGAGAGCAGTCAGAAATCTTACTATAGGTCAAAAACCATGAAAGCATCTTCTCTTTGTTGGTATTTTGGTAAAAGTAGATCTGCATACATGGCAAACAGCATGCTTATCCCAATAGCCAAAAAATGCTAATATAATCACATGACATCAGCCATGTGTGCTGTGAGCAGTATTATGTCTTAATATGGTCCTAAGTATTAATTTGTATGCATGCTTGTACTTGCCTCCTGTTGGTTATTGTGGTCAATGTAATAAATTCTGAGCCAAAATGTCCCTGCTCTTGAAGCTCATTAGACTAATTACTTAGATAAATCTATCCAAGACTATTAAGGTGTAAACTACTAACTGGCTTAATAATAGGAAGGCATTCAATTGGAAAACAAAGGTTGGAAAATGTATGTGTGTTTTTGAAAGCAGAAAGGAATGATACTTATTTCACATGCTGCATTTTCTTTTAAAGAATATGCTAAGAGCAAACATGAAAGATGTAATCTACTGCAGCCAGTGGCATAAAAGGAGCCAGAGCAGGTTATACGGCTGCTATGGGGCCCATGATAGGAGAGCTGTCTTAGCAGTATAGATGTATTGCCCAGTGAACTTCTGCTAAAGACTGATATGAATCCTGTATACCTAACAAATCTCTGAGTTTTATCATGTGCTAAAACCTTAAAGAACAGATGAGGTTTGGAGTTCTACATAAAAACAGTTTAAGAACCTAGAGTTTAAAGAAGTTTGCATTAGCGTTATAGAGTAATTACAGTATATGAAAGAGTATTAAACATTTTTACATAATATAAAATATCATTATGGCTTATATAACTGATTGATTTAAGAATACTTTGTCAAAGTTGATACTGACCGCTGCTATAGAGAATGTTAACTAGGGGCCCCATCAAAACAATCAGAAATCAACTTTTATCACTCTGGCCTAACCAAGCTGCAATGAAGTTGAAATCAAGTTATGTGTTAAATAATTTTATTATTTGCGGGGGAACATACTTATCTGAATTTATAGTGTGCCAAAGTGAACAAAGTTAACATAATTTTTTAACAATGAGATTGGCCTGATGCTACATAATTGTCCTCTAACTGAAAATGTATCTTGTTTCCAAAGGTATGCATACACACACACATACACATACACACATGACACTTGTCTTATGATCTTAATGTACAGCACACGAGCAGAATATGTGTTTTTTATCAGCTTTAAAATATACAGTACGAGATGGATTGGATGATTTGAAATATGATCACCCCACTTTGGAAATGTTGCACACGTATCTTGTGTAGTGCATGTATTATGATCATTGTAAAAAGTCATAAAATAGTATTGTATTGTGGAAATTATGAATGGGCACATTTGTCAGGCTAGTGAGGTGGATGCCATGTTGGTAATTTTATGTATTTTACAATTTCAGGATTATATAATAAAGCAGTACAATAGGTATATGCAAAGTATTGAAACCCATAACAACCATGTGCTCTTGAGCTGTGGTTTGCTGTTTACAGGACATCCACAAACCATATAAACTTGAAAGTTGAACACACAGAATATACAATAAACACTTATTGCTACAGAGCACAATGGCTTTTGACATTTGTTGTCTGTATAGAAGCATTTACGTTTTGCTAGTTTGTATGAAACAAAGGAGCTCAATAACAGTATACGTATGCCAGTCTCAGTCTAGAGATTGCATTTTCCTGACATAGGAGGATATGTACCTATTTATGCTTCTGCTGACAGTTTACTATAGCTGTGACATTTATTTTTGGCTATCACTTTACATGTCTTTTCGCATCTTCAGCTTTCTGTGTGGCTCTCAGCTCAGTCTAGGCCTCTATTTAAGCAGCATTAGGATGTTCACATAACTGAGGGACGTGTCAGTGTTTTATGAGTGTACTGCTAGCATGACACCACTGGCCAACTCGGCTTAGCCTATTTATGCCTCTGTACTTGGCATGAATTGCTACATTAATAATTCAGCATATTAGAAGAGTTTCAGGGAGTTTGTTTATAGGGATGTAAACATGTTCAATTCTGTAAATTCTGAGGCAAGATAGTTCATAACTAAACATACAGGTCACACAAACTACAGTGTTCTATGTAAACAAGTATGTGTACACCACTCTTTTTTTCACAGATCAACTGAGTAAAAATGTCCCATGCTGTTTTGTACAGATCCTTGGGCATACAATGCTGTAATCCACCTGTACCAATGGTCTGACTGTCTTTCTCTTTGCTTAGCACATTAACATTAACCTCCCCAAATACCAATTCCACAGTTTCCTAAAAATAATGGTTCTGTGATTGGATGTTGTCAGTACCATCTTAGGTCTACTTATAACATACAACCCATGGATGTTGAGGGAAATCACTCTGCAGGATAAAGTGTGTTTAAATCTATGTTGGCTATCACAAGTACATCAGCTATTATACTACAAATGTGTTCTCTGCCATGGGTATCATCTAACACATGAGAATTTGCTTAGAAAATGTTGCAAAGTAAAAATAAGCAGATAATATGTAAATCTCAAAACTCCTGTAAAGTTTAGACTTTACTTCCCCCCAGATACACACACATTTACACCTTCAACCTCCCTATTGGCCATTTAATGTGATGGGTATCCTCATTAACAAAATAGAGAAGCTGGGCGGGCAGACGAGAGTGGGGTCAACCTCAAATGTTATTTAATTGTTAACCATGTTCCTCTTTTTTAATACTTGAAAACAAAAATAATTATTGACATTTCCTTTATGAAGTATTGTTGAGGTATAGTTCCAGCCAAAACTTTTTTTTTCTTCTTTTTTTAAGTTTGGATTTAGTGGGGCAGAGTTATCTTCAAATTGGAAGATTCCCCCTCACTTCCTGTCCCAGTGAAAGTACTTACTGAGACAGAAAGTAAGAGGAATATCCTGATGAGAGGTAACAATAGGAACCTAGGAGTTGGGAGAGACAAGAGTGCCACACAAATTAATTTAAAGCCTTAAAATATATATTTCATCATAAAAATAAAGCCAACGTGTTAAGGCTTTTGAAGTAACCCATTCATCAGGGTTTAAGGTGCTAATTGGCATTAAAATTGCAAGCCAAACAATTGCTCCTTCATCTTTAACAGCTGCTCATTGAGGAAAAAACCATAGGAATTTAAAAAAAAAATTGTTTAGTTGCTGTCTGTATTCCTATTGGAGACATTTTCAGTTGTGTTAAAGACAGAAACTCTTCCCTTCCAAATAAATAACTTAAAAATGTCTTGGCTGGAGTTGCACAATATTTTACAGTATGTAATGGAAAATGTATTTAAAAAAATAAATACATTGTAGAACAGTTAGTTCTGAGTGATAAGGATATAACTTAATGTATTTTCCCACCAAAGAATAGAAAAATAAAAATGATTTATAAGATAATACATTTTTAATTCTTGTGCTTGTACTGCACGTAATATACTGTAAAAACATTAGCCTGGAGTTTCTAACGGCTTCTTGGTTTTTGGACATCTACCATTAATCTAGCGTGTCTGTACTCTGTCTTCTCTGTGGGAGATTAAATGACAGATTATTTATGGAGTAATATCATTTAAACAGGAGCATATTACTGGCCAGGAGCACATATCTAATCCTACCATCCAAAAGTCATCCACGTGTTTTTTTCAGTATTTATGTTTGAAATATGATTTATAGAAGCACCAAGTTACACCCCCTCAAGCTTTTATTTTTAACAAAAGCATTAACAGAAGTAGATCTGTAACAATTGTGACAACAAGATTTAATACACAAAGCGAAAATAATCTGCGGACGTTTGATGTTCTTCTCCAGCATGGCCACATGAGGGCAGGCAACATTTACGATTTTATTTTTTATACTCAACTGAAAGATTTTCACTCGTATTACTGAGAACATTTCTGCAACAATTCCACAAATGTAGCTATTGTAATAGTCTGAGATAAATCTAAAGCTCAACCATTTTATAATCCTATATTAGCTGAGCTCCTTCTCCATTATGTTACAGTTACACTTGCCATAATTGTGTAACACAATGTGATTGTCACTCACTCATAATGTTCTTAAATTTAATGTACATGTGTTGATTATCTTGAGAAAAGGGTAATTTTTGATCTGCTCTGCCAATAATCAGCACACATATGTGAGACCACCAACTTTCAAGCCTGAAATTTCAGTGGGATGGAAGATGTTGTCGCTTGAAGATTACATCAGTGAATATATGCAGCTCCCAAATTACAGTTTCTATTGTCTCTCATGTGATATGGCTTAACCACCTATGTCCTGGTTGACAAGCCAAACTTGTTGCATATTGCTCCACCACCAAAAACATGTAGGTGGCCCAATCTGAAGAAGGGGCAACGTTAAACGTTCAGTAGTTTATGCCCTTAAACTAAGCCTATTTTGTGGATGAGGCAGTTGATGATACCCCTTAAAAATATCCTACAAGATTGACCATTATTCTACCTACCCTAAGACAGTATCCTCCAGAGGTGCTTGTTCACAGTCAGATGCTATAGAAAAACATGGGAATTTTCACCTTATCTGACTGAAACTGGGATGACATCTAACGCCTATGGGTACCATAAGTTCCCCAATAGTTGTTACCTGAATTTTAGGCAGGCCATGAATGCTAGTCCTGCGTTGTAACTCAGAAATATGGAGGGAAGACTTTATCCTCTCAGAAATGGTACATTATAATATTTTATGTGCCTGGTAGGTATATACCTCAGATGCTAATAACGGAATGTATTGTTAGGACTGGAGCTGGTAGTTGCATTGAAGATTTTAAAAGTGCTACAATTTATCATTTAGTATAACATGGGAGGTGTGTGAAATGTCATTACAAATATAAATCATACTAATTCCTAATGTGACAACAGAAATCAGTCAGCTGTGGTACTTAGTGGGTGTGTAGGTTTCTACAGTGCTAGTTAAGCAGTGCTCATGCAAAAAAAGTAGTATATTGCTTACCCTGAGAGATCACTGCCTCTGGCCTGTGCCTGGCCGGCAATAGCATCCATAATGGCATCCTGGGAATACATGCTGATTGGGGTGTTATACTGGGCGTGAATGATTGTGGCTTTGCCTCCAGGACCTTTGACCTCAATGGGCTTGTGGGTGGAGAGAGCTGAATCCTTAAGCACGTTGGGGTTGAACTGGGGTACGAACTCAGAGCTGACAGGAAGGGAAGGGAGTTGTGAATAGTGCAATAGGGACATGCTAAAAAAAGGTCAGGTGTTAAACTCACACCAGATCAAAAATCCATAGCCATGTTACAGGTTATGGTCTTCAGGAGTGAACAGAGGTTAATGCATGCATTGATTGTACACAAGTCATAACATGCATATTTGTCAAGATGCATACTGAAAGCATTGCAATTAGAATGGAGAAACATAACTAACGTTTCTATTATTTGTTGCACTGTGTTGCTATAATTGACACTTAGTAGGTGCCTTGTTAACATAACTGTCACACTTTCTAATGTAGCCAGCAAGAATGTGCACAGTTCAGTAGAATAGCAGAATACAGAATCTAATCAGATTTCAGTTTACTTTATTCAGATCAGTGAAACATATTTTTTCTTATTGGCTTCTATGGCTTACTGCACTTTGCACATCCCCATTACTCCCTGTACTACCTCACTGATTAAACTCAAATATATAGTGTCGGTTACAGTTACTCCTGGTATTTATTTTGGTGAAAGGAAGGGCGGGGTTATTAGGAGATGCCAATTCCCTGTTGCTGCACATTATTCTAGTTGCTACTTTGATCAAGAAGAATGTATATCAGAAAATGGCCTTATTAAGAACTCTTTGGAAACACACTGCACAGGTTGAACTGAATGTAGACAGAAGAACTTACTCTGGGACTAACAGATGAATATGCCATGACAACAGAGAAACAACAGGAAGAAGTTATACATACCCATGTCTCTTTACATCTCCACCCAAGAGGCTTTGGTGGAGCTAATTACTCTAAAGCACCCAGCCATAGATTAATGCTAAGAGGTTGGAGTTTTAATTATATCCTTTATTTGGTAGCTTGAATTATTAAAGTGACACATTAAACTCAGGAGTTAAATCTTAAAAATGCATTCACGTACCCTAACTATTAATACAAATGTAGCTTATTTGCTTATCACACGGCTGTAGATCCTCAAATCATCTCTGAATTCATACTAACACTGTCCTTCCTTCTAGAGGGTGGTTACTTTCGTTCCCATGATGGACTGTAATCTAAGGGGTCTATTCACTAAGCTGCTGAATCGAAGGGCTGCTGTACGGGCTATTCACTATAGCCCGTACAACTCCCGAAGTTGGCCGAGCGGCTCAGTCGAGCCGAAGGCATATGCCTCAGCTCGACTGAGCCGAGGTGAAAGCCAAAGCTGGCCGAATGGTCGGCCATTGGCTGGCCGACAGCCCGCTTCTGACAGCTGGGCGGAGCCAGCCGTCATCTCACGGCTGGCTGCAGCCACTTGCAGAGATCAGTGGCCAGCGTCCAGCCTTGATATTACAGTGGCCTCTCCGGGTTCTAAGTGTGTAATGACATCTGTCATTACTCTCCCGGATGCACTGGGAGTCTAATACGGCTCCTGCCCGCCCAGGAGAGAAACACTTTTTCTTTCCATTGCTGCTGTCAATCAGCAGAGGGGGACCTGCAGTTCTCCATCAGGTCCTCCATCTGGTGATTGAAAGCATCAGAAGGCGGGTGCAATAGCTAGTTTGCTATTGGCTATTGCAAAGTGAACTAGCCAATAGGAATCTAGCAGTGCATGCCTATGGTTTTTTTTTTTTTTGACGGCACCAGAACCGCCCAGGCAATAGAAAACAGCTTGGCGGAGTTAGCTGTCACTGCTAGCTCCACACAATCGTTTTCTATTTCTTCAACTATTTTTCTATTCTGCTCGGTACCACAGAGGTACCGAGCAGAATGGCTGAGTCGAATGCTGCTCAGCGGCATTCGGCTATTTACTCACTGCTGTTCGGCATCTATGCGAATAGGCCGAACAGCAGCAAGTTGCCTGCCGGAGGTTCGGCTCAGCCGATTCAGATGATGGATCGGCTGAGTCGAACTCCTTCTGCACTTCGGGTCGGCCGAACATGCTGAGCATTTTGGCCGACGCGAAGCCACACGATGTTCGGCTATTCATTTCAGGCTTCCACGGCTGATTTCAGCCGTACAAGCCTGAAATGAATAGCCGAATAGCGGCTTCGGGTCAGTTATTCACTCTGCTGCCATCTGCAGCTTAGTGAATAGACCCCTAAATGTAAGAATATAGTCCATCATGGGAGCGAGCTTGGAGTGGTGGCTACATGTTTAATTTATATACAGGATTAACTCTGTAAAATTAAAAAAAATTGTACCGGTGTTGGCTTTTTCAATTTAAATAACCTGCACTATTATCAGTATTTGTACAGTGAGTGTGGATTGGGCTTTTCCTAGTGGTTGTTAAAGGTAACCTGTACAGCATGCAACTGTTGTATTGTTAAATACAAACCGAATGATCTTGCAGTCCCTTTATGGGCTTCTGGCATTCATATTAATTGAGTAAAACCCTTATACAATGCAATACACATCGATGTCACCAGTTTCTGGTGTAAACAAGCTAGAAATGTTTGGGCCTTGCATTAATAAAATTGCTTCTGACTGATCACCCAATTTGGAAAACATGGCTTTAAACTTGGTGAAGTTCACAGGCAACTTTTAGCCATGCAATCATGCATTGGTTTGCGGATAGTAGCACAATGCTCTAAATCAGTCACACGCAGGTGGTAGTGACAATGTTGTTTTATTTGGGGGGTGGACTTTGATCGGTATCACATAGTTTCTTTTTCCATGATTTAGACCAAGTGATTGCTCTCCCCCTTTGTTCAAATGAGCAACTAAAAGCCACAAAAAATTGTGGAAAACTGCATTATGATCAAGCATAGTAACAGGACAGAAATAATTATTTGATCACACTATTTTTTAATTGTATGATCAAAAATCTCTCAGTAACCCTATCCCAAGGGTTACTCTGCCTATATTTCTTGTGGGTCCCTTCCAGCCTCCTAGACTTCAGGAAGGACCCTTTCTTATGTAGAGGCAATGACAACTTTAAATGCCATTGAGTTGAATATCCCCAACAGGGCAGTCTAAAGAAATACAATTTTAGTTTTTTTTTGTATGTTAGCATCAACTGCTGGTTAAACAGTAGTGTTAATTCCTCCTGCACCCACATATAACTCTGTCAGTAGCAGACTCTGTTGACCCTTGTCTATACCTTATTTCACCACAGAATCCAAATACAATATTGAATTTTCAGTCTGCCACTTTGCACTGTAGTTTTTAATACTATTGGTCTATGTGCATAAGTCCAAATCTTTCTATTAGACATAGAACACCTCTGATGCATGCTTTAACAGCAACTGAATTTCACACTAAAGTCACATCCTATCCCAGTTATGTTCTTATGTTTTCACCAAATACCATGCTGTCCAAAAATGCACGCAGCAATACAAAGGGTCCAAACGACACATAACAATGCTTTTATACTAACTTGGCAACAGTGTTGGCTATGATCTGCAGAGAGAAAGAAGAGAGGTGAATCAGTCAAGAAAGATTTGTTGGTGAGGTGGCTGAGTTATATTCATGATCGTCCTTTTCACTATGACCCAGTCGTTATGATGGTTACAAGAGCATGTAAATATTCATCAGTTAATGTGGCCCCTTGGGAAGGAATCCCATACTTCGTACTCCCCAGAGGTTCATCCAGAATGATAGAACTACACTGCAGGGATCATTACAGCATTTAAAAATTCAATTTATGTCCTTTTTCTTGGTACAAAGCTGGTTAGAAGTACATGAAATGCATATTGTATGGCTGTGAGATTTAAACATGGCTATATATCTACATAGTGGCAAGAGTTTTTAATTTGGGGAACACGAGCATTGTTCTTGTTTTTCATCAGATTGATGGCAAGGAACAAAATTATCCCCTGGTCCTGTCAGCCCTGTTAAGAAAGAAAAGGAAAAGCAAAGTCCATTACCCTTTATTACCCAATCAGGTTTAAGTTGACTGTAGGTAAACTTGTCACTTTGCTAATCAGTTCTGATTCATACTTATGACAATGTGGTATGATCAATCTATGTACATTAAATTATATTTAAAGCCAAACATGTTTTTTCTTTCTGTTTTAGATAGGGAAGGGGTAGGGAAGTTTAAACCCCTCTTTGCCATCTTTGTCCAATTGAAGGGATTTCCCATTACTTCCAGTCCTGTACACACATCTCCCCTGATGGGACACCAAATTAAAAAAGCTGATACCTTACCTCTTTTAAAAACTATAAGGCATCTTTCTGCTCTAAATAAACAAGTTACTTGTTGAAAGATGTATTCTTGACATGGTACTGATGATGTATTTGTCTTGTTTAGTGAGACAAAACAACTAGATGATGATGATGATTTCAGCAACTAGGTAATAGCAACATGTGAAAAAAAAATCCTTTTAAGAATATATTTTGGCTATGGTGTTGGTTCTTGCAAGGTTTTTATTGTTGCACCACATGTCCCTGATAATCTGTTTTGCACTATTACAGTAATGGATGCAGATAGTTTATAAACCAGTATTGGCATAACTGCACTGCATGCTTGTATTTGAAGGGCACTTGACATTAACTGAAGCTTTCAAGCTGTTTATATCTTGTTTATATCTGTCTACAAATAGAAGAAGAAAACAACTGTATAACTAAAATACTGATATGAGTAATAGATATAAAATGTGTGGATTACACTTTATCCAGCAAGACTTATAAAGGTTTCATGTCTGCTGGATGACTCTGAAAAGTATTTTTGTGGAAATGTTTCCCCAAGGACATTGCTTGGTCAATTAAGCCCTGTGTTCCAAAGCATGAACCTTTTGTGTCACCTGGTATTGCTATACTTTAATCCTATAGAATAAATGCACAGAGATAGCTTGTATCTCTGCCTTTGGCTAGACGATAATACATAATGCATATAATCTAAAGGCATACTCGGGGAAGAGTCAACACAAGCATTACTGACATTTTATTCTTGGTGAACTGATCTCTTTTGCATCACTTAATGCTTTCACGCATGCTGTTGACATCTGGCAACTGAAAGGATTTCATAGCATCTATGATTCAAACATTGCTGTCATGCTTGATAATATCCTGATTGAAATAAGCTGGACCATCATCATTGGCAAATGTTTCCAAGGAGACCACAACGGCTGCTGGCTTTGGCTTATATGGCCATTTTCTGAGCATTACAACAGGGCCAGTGATGCTAAATATAATGTGATTGATGCTTTTATGGAATTGGACCATTGTTACCCAATATGGCTGTCAATACATATGTACATGCTAAATATTAGACTCTCTAGACTGGGTGAGACCCTCGCTATGTTGTCATCGCGCATGCTCAACCATCTGATTGATGCCTGCCGGTGGCCATCTTTTTAATGGACGACGGCAGAGAGAGGAGGGGACGTTCACCCGGCGGGATAAGGTATGCTGCCGGGTACCCTCCTTTCTCCCGACACTGTCGGGCTCTCGGTCCATGACCGAATGCCCGAATTTTTAGTGGGGGGATACAATGCAATGGTGACACCCGGGTGCGGGCCGCACCCCCCACACACCCCTTGTGACGCAACTGTCTTAGTGAAAAAGTTTTCATCATCCATTTATGTCCAAGCAAAAATGCTGTTTTTTATTTTCCTTGCACATGATTGGGTATTCTTTTCAAAGAGAATTTACACCACATTCACTAAGAAAATTTCCTTGCAGTGAACAACCTATTTGCCTTTAGTAAATCAACCCCATTATCCAGTAAAAGTATGCAGATCAGGAGTTTTTTTACATCATTTGAAGTATACTTTTCAGAAAGGTTTTGGAAAACATAAAAATTGGAGAAACATGAATACCAGACAATTATAATTCTCAGTTCTCTGAGCCAACGCTTCCTATTATAACTTTGACAAAATATACAGAACCGTTTGAAAAAATGATAATTTGAGCACTCCATTGCACTGATCTTAGTTACCCTACACATGTTCAAATCCACTTGACATGCTTCTACCCAGCCATTTATATTTTGTGTTAATGAATGCAGGTAATCTCCTCTGCATCTGTGACCTTCTTCTAGAGTTTTTCCCCTTACCATTGCTCCTTTGTTTGTGGCTCCTATGTCTTGATATTTTGTGCAGACTTGGCATTTGCTGACACCTTTTGCTGACACATTGGTGACAATATGGCTTGCCACGCTTTCATGCTGCCTGCATATTTACACACCTCTTGTCGCTCTACATAACCAGAAAGATCCCTCTGTTATTTCCTGGTTCAGCTTTCCTGATTCTTGAATCATAACCCCAACCCTATGATAACCTGATAAAGGTGATGATGCTGAGGCAGAGATGTAACATGATGCAACCAGTGAGAAAGTGTCAATTGCCTTGTTATGCAGTGTGGCAAATGTTTGTAAACCACAAGACCTGGTTAGGTAAAACCATGAACATGTTTGTATAAATAGCGTATTAAGCTGTTTTTTTGGAGTTACTGTGCAGATAAGTCTAGTTTTTTATAGACTTATCTGCACATATGAACTGTTCAGTTTAAAGTTATACATGGAATCTCTGATATTTGCACTTGCAGTCCTTAGACCTCTCTAGGATAATGTTCACCCCAGATTTTTATTCATTTCTGTCTTTCATTTTTTTTTTCTCTAATTGAAGCAACGCTATGGTGTTGCTTATCCCAATAGGGACCCCAACAAGGGTTCTAACCTTTTCCTACTCTATCAAAAAAAATCTGTCCACAGATCTCCTGCTGATCGGAGTAATACAGAACAGATGTCATGGACATTTTTGGCCCTCCCTCTTGCGATGGAGGACCCATATTAGGTCTATGGGCAGGCAGATGTAAACAGACATGCATCAGTTTACATCCTTTTACTTCACATCTGTCACATTTAGGGCTAAAAAAGAGATCTAATCAGAACAGCCACGTAAAGGGGCTTTACATGCTATTTGTTCCCATCAAATCCCTTATCTCAATGATCTTACAATCTAAAGTTCCAATCTTATATGCATACATGCTATGGAAAATTTAGACAAGAGCCAATTAACCTACCAGTATGCCTATGGAGTATTGGAGGAACCCAGAGTAAACCCATGCAAGCACAGATATAACATGAAACTCCATGCAGAGTGTGTCCTGGTTGGGATTCAAACAAAGGTGAATTTTCCACTGTGCTGCCTACACCATAAAGCGGACCTTCACTCATAAAATGGACTTCCTCTCATCTGCTACCCCATCTTAGACAATAGCAGAGTGTTTATTTATTTTTATTTTTTTGGCCATTTTAAATACCTTTTAATCTTGTGAAAAAAAGTATTGCAGACCTGCAGTATGTCTGTGCATGAGCAGGTTGTCACATGGTGGAGATCTGTGGAGTGTTTGTGCATGCACAAACAGGAATTTCAAGATGGCTCAGGAGTGCAGCACAAGGATAAACAAGAACAATAACACTGGCCTCCATGGACTATTAAGTATTTTTAATTTGCAGACGGGCAAATCTCTTTGTATTATAAACACATTGATGTGCAAAGCATATAAGCTTCTCCTTTGTGCACTCTGACAAAAAGAAGTATGGATATCTTATCAAGGAACTAGTGCTTATTCTTCTATCTCACCTTTTAATCCTGATCCAAATGCTTTGTGATGTACGAATTCAATTTTAGTATTTCAAGCTAGTAAAGTTCACAATTCAGCGGTTTTATACAAAAAGAGTAATTGCTTCTTTAAGAAGACTCTACTTATTTTTGTTTTGTACTACTATGCTACTTCCTATATCTTTTTACTGTCAGTCTGCCATTATTTCTTCCTTTTTGTACTGTACCTGAGTGATAAACTAGTGTATTTTAAATAAGGCCTGTTCTGTTATTTGCCCAGAAAACAGAGAATCTGTTCACTAGGAGACATGTTCTGCCATTTCTCTTAGCCTCTGAAATATCTGCCTGCTATAGTATCTAGTGAGATATATTAGGAACAAGCTGGAGACTGTAAGCAGATAGTCATATAGCCATTTTTGGTATGTGTTCAACAGCTGAGCATCCCCTTACAGTCAAACACAGTGTAACAGTATCATTTGGTAAAAAAGGTCCCTGTGTCTGTTTTAATCCCCTGAACCTCATCCGCGAACGTCATATGACATTTTTAAGGTAGAACAGGAGGTTAACAAAATCAAATTTATTGCTCAGTGGAGAAGATGGAAAAAAGCAATGTATTTCTAAAGTGGAAATACATTCATTCAGAGCTGAATGAATATATACAACTTCACATTCTCCAGATGTTCATGTTATTGCGCTCTGCCACCAGAAGTAATACCCATTTGCAGTAAACTTTCAAGTCAGCAGTGGAATCCTTTACAACATTCCAGTACAGAAATGAAAGTAGTACGTACTGAATGATGAAGAAAGCCTACAGCACAGAAGCAATAGGCGAAGTTAGCACTAGAAGAACTACTAGAAATGTTTTCTTGGTGTTCTGTGAAGAAATACCTC